TGATGAAGTATTGCAATTAGGGCTGCCACGATTTGTCGACTAGTCACGATTACGTCGACTATCAAAATCGTCGACGACTGATTTAATAGTCGACGTGTCGTTTGAAGCTTTGTAAGATCGCAAAAGACGCAGGAATAAGTAGCAGGATTTAAGAGTGTAATAACGGACTGAAACAGAAGATGGCAGCACTGCATGTACAAGGATGCCAGCTGCCGTTAAACCCCGGAAGAAGAAGCAGCTGTGTCCCAGAATTCATAGCGCAGCCCAGCTCAGTTTCCAACAATGGCGGCAGCTAGTTAGTTTTAATATTACTCCAGTTTGGGTCACCAGATAAAGCCTTTAAAAAGACTAATACTCATGACTGTTACATAAACTTGCTTAGTGCAGACATGTCTCAAGACGCACCTTCATCCCAAAGACAGTCGAGGGACAGTAAGGCAATAGACAAAGATGCAGACAGAGAAAATCCTGGCTGCCTCTTCAATGTGGGCAGAAGATTGAGAGCTGTAGAAGTCCATGACTGTCCAACCATCCATCAACTCAGCTGACCACAAATGTCAGATGAGATAACAGTGTGTTTGTATGTCTGTCCCACAGATGCTGATGGTTCAAAGCGTGGTAGCGGACATCAACAGGCAGACAGGAGAGTCGGAGTGTCAATACTACAAGGATCGTCTGGTGTACACAGAGGACGGACAAAAGGACGAACTCATCGACCGCTCCAAGACCCTCAGTTGCCATGGAGAGCTGAAGAACAACAGAGGACTCGTCAGTACAATTCTACAACTTTATCGTCCTCCCTTCCCCATTTATCCATTCTTTAATATATCCAAAGGTCAAAATGGACCTCAAAGTTTTAGATATTTAAATCGTTGTATGTAAAAGTAATCCTTATGAATGGGAAGCTCAGGCTTCAGGCTGCTCTGCTGTTTAATTGCACCTGATGAGGTGTTGATGAAGAAATGCCTGAAGCCTATTGTAGTCCCACTGCAAGGTATACAGCAGGGGGGTTCAGAGGAGCGTAACATAGTTTCACATGGGTTTTTTAGTCTTGGGTATTTATGATGTCATAGAGAGGATTGTTGCCATGGCTAAAATATTTACAACAACACTGATTAAATCCAATCAATAAAACATGTTTATTTTCAACTCACTCTTGAAATCAGTGATATGCATTATATGAATTTTCATGACATACGTGAGCTTTTTAAAGGTGATTCCTTAATTTGGTTGATTTTAATGCTACACAGAAATGCTTCTAATACTTTCATAACATTACCATTTTATGACCAAAATCACTCATAAATATCATCCATATATTTTATTGGTATCTCTAGAGGAAGAAATTAAAACCTGTACTCTGTCTGATTCTCTCTTTCTAGAAGCTCCACGTGTTCCTTTTCCAGGACGTCCTGGTCATCACCAGATCCATGTCGTCAAACGACCAGCCAGTCGGCTATCAGCTCTGCCGCCAGCCAATCCCCATTCGTCAGCTGGACCTGGAAGACCTATCAGATGGCGAGATAAGAGTGGGCGGATCCATCAGAGGGGCCTTCAGCAACAATGAACGAAGTCAGTACTGGACACAGCTATTTAAATCAGTGTCAGGTGTGCTGCATGCTGAGGATGTCTTTGTGACCAAAGTTAAGGTTACAAAAGTGTTTTTGTAGTTCTGCGTGGTAGAAACTAAATGTGTCATATTCCGCACTCACCACATGAACTAGTATGCTGATTGTAAGCTAGTATTTAATGTTGGACCTCAATGATCTTGTCCTGAACGCAGTGTATGTCCGTGTAGCCAAAAGATTGAATGTCTAGTGTCTGTGACTGAAACCAGAGGAACCTGTTGTAGCACTAAATTTACATGAGTGATTCCAGGATTTTTTAAACTGCCCATTCTGGGAAGGTAGCTACACTTTATGGGTGTCCCTGAATGTGCCACATGAAAACAATCGTGAAGTTACAATTTTGATAAGAGCTGTGTCATTTGTCAAATGACTCCAGAGACAGAAAAATGCATTAAATTATATTAAAACATGCTGGTAGAGCTGTCCATGTGATAATCAGTGGGTGTACAAAGTCAGAGTGATTAAAGTTTGTATTATGTTGGATTTTATGACCTGCGTTATCTTTTCGCCTGCCTTTAAAGGGCTGTTTTAAGGGTTAAATCCATTTTTTAGGTTTAAAGTTATTGTTAGGGTTCTGAACTTAGTAGTGACAATAAAAATGATAGATGTATTGACGTACCATCAAACCATGATGTTCAGGTTGTGATCTAGTGAAATGGTATATATCAAGGAAAACTAAGACTTTGTGCTGTGCTATAAAACTTGTGCACAGCTCACTTTTGCTTTAGTAAATATACACCTTTATTGGTCATTTGTTTGTTTTTGTTTTTATTTCTGATAATAATTTAGCAACAATGTTTACATATCAGTTTATTCTGTTTATTATAGGATTTTTATCAAATTCCAGCTTATGTTCACCACCTCTGTCTCCTGTTTCTTCTTCCTCATTTTCTCCTCCACACAGCAAAGAACTTCTTCCGGGTTTCATACCGTACTGGAGGCCAACTGCAGAGCCACTGCTTTCAGGCTAGTGACGCCTTCAACAAACAACAGTGGATCAACTGCATTAGACAAGCCAAAGAAGCTGCAGCACTGACTGGAGACCAGCTGCCACAGACGGGACATTGTCCAGAGACGGGGGTCAATGAACAACCAGGGCCACCTGTTGAAACAGTGGGGCTGTGGGGTGTGAAAGGACAGGGCTTGGAGGGAGAGGCAGGTCTGCATGGACAGCAAGAGCTTGGACTGAGGGATGGAGATGGGCTGGGTTTAACTCAAGAGACAATGACGGGGAAGGAGATGGAGGCAGATTTGGGTTTGCATGGTAAGTCGGAGATGGACGGAGCACTACAGCTTGTGATCAGTGAAGCAAAGACAGGTGTGGAGATGGAGGGAAATCAGGGTGTTGGTGTGGAGATGGGAGCTGAACCAGGAGCCACTGTAGACTTTAAGGTGGATGAAGCGGGACAGACTCTCAGCAGATGTGAAGATGCAGTCTCCATTTCCCTCCTCTCCTCTTCAATTCCCAAACAAGTGGAGGATGAAGTGATGGAGGAGGAGCGGAGCAGTGCTGCAGAAGAAAGAGAGGATGGTATGGACACTGGCGAGATGGACTCACTGCAGTGCCACAGGTGCTGATAGGACAGCATGAATCAGGACTGGAACTAAACTCAACCAACTTTGGTATTTAGTAATGATGTAACTAACAAAAAGCCAAATGAAAAGTATATGAACAAACTTCTTGGGAGAAGTCACGAGACCAACCGGTGCTCACTGCTCACAGACATACTGCTCAGAATTAAGCTGAAGGTGGTAAATGCTTATACTGTGATATGTATGTAAGATGTTAAGTCCAGGAGATATGGTGAAGTAACAAAAATGTGCTCCAGGTGAAATAAAGACTCAGAAAAGGCCAAATTCAAACAACATTAGATCAAAAACATTAAATAAAGAAGACAACTGGCCACTGTATCTGATGAGAACAGAGATAAGATGACAGCAAACATTACACATTTAGAAATAAGTATATCTCAAGGAGATGAGTCAGGAGGATACACACTTATTCTCCACATCGGAGTAAACAGTCACTCCCTAGCAATGTAAAAACATTGTTAGGCAGGCAGTGAGACACTCCTCTCCCTTAGGTTAAATACTCCCAGGACAGTCTCACTGCTGCACCCACTCTGGTTGACCCACGGATGCAAAAATAAAAGTCCCTATAAAAACCTTGGTGAATTTAGAGTTTTGACTGTTTAAGGAGAATTGAAAAAGTGAAATAGAGGAAATGATGTTAGCAGTTGCTAAATGGTGTGTGCAAAGGTTGGTCATAAGACTGAGGATTGGAAGTAATCGTCTCCCGTGCTGCTATCTGCTGTGTTCTAACTGCAGTTAGCCATGGATGTTGTTAAGAGGACTGGATACCACACCCTGTGGAAGTTGCTCACCAGGCACACACTGCTGAAAGACTGCTCAAAGGCCCTCCCTCACAGGTTTCCTTTCCAGCTCCCCCCTGGCTCCATCATAGCTAACATTAACTCACATTTTGTACTGGACCCGCCTTTGAAGAAATAAATCCTGTTCCAACCACCCCTTACCAGCAGCAGAGCTCAACAGTCTTTATAGTGGTGACCAGGCTGAGAACACTACTTTCACCGAATGATAACAAAACGTATGTCTCCATTTACTGTAGAAATCATCAGTTATTTGGTTACTCTTATGTTTGGGGTTATGAACACAGAAGTATGGGGGTTGCTCCTGGACAGGCTTCTCCTGGATAGGCTACTGCTCACCTCACTGGTCCTGTGAGGTGAGCAGTAGTGGAAAACAGAAAACTGGGAAATGTGAAAACACTCTTAATTGTGCCATCATCTCATGTATTTTTGCTCATTGATATATTTTACATACCAATTCTGTTGTATAGATTGGTGGAGACACAGACTGTATGTAAAACGTGGACTCTTCTGGTTGGAAAAATAAGTCTGCAGAATGCCATAATTTCAGTCTCCAAAACTAAAGGAGAGATGTGTTGGATGGTTTGTACCAAACAGGAAATTACAGTATTCTTAGATAATTCCTTTAAAAGCAAAGCAACAAATCCCCTACTTTGAGCCCAAAAGCCCCCCCCCCCTGTTCAGTTGTTATGGAGGGAAAGAAACTATTCAATGAAGCCAAAACATTAATTGTACCAGGCTGTAAATATGTGGTTGTTGGGCATCTTTGCATGGGGAGACTATGGGGATTGATTTCCTTTTGGAGCTAGCCCCAAGCGGCCATGAGAGGAACTGCAGTTATTGGCATTTGTACATTGGCTGCATTTTTCAGCTCTGGCGGACGTCACTTGGTTTTCATGTCCTGTTTTAGTTTTCTTGTCAGATGTGGGATCGCTTCCTCCTCTGCTGCTGTGTTTCAAAAACTTTTTAAAGCATGTCTGAAAACACTGGAGAGAACTCAGCTGTACATTCCCTTTTAATGAGTTAGCAGACTTTATTTATCTTCTGTGTTCTGTAGATTTACAGTTTTTATCATGTATCCCAACAATATTTTGTTAAACTGAAGTAGCCTGCAGCAGCTGAAGCTGCTGCTAAGTGAAATGCTCTGTGTTCAACTCTGCATTAAAGAAGGAGCCTGTTGTACATGTACTGTATGTATATAAAGAATGTATATGAAGTATTTGTGTAATATGAATGAAGGGGGGAAAAAAACAAGCGCTACTGTTTGTTATATTCGTGCTTACATATTACACACAGAATGATTCCTGTCATCAATGTTAGCAAGGCTGAAGATGCTAATAATGACATTTACACTTAATTAAGGCTGCCATTTTTTTAAATGAATTACAGTACTGTGTAAAAGCTTTGAACCACCCCTTCAGTTTTCTATATATCTTGCTAGGGAAATGGGAAATAGGTGCAGCACTTTATTCAAACATGTAGAAGTGTACATGGAAATAGTGTTTATAGGGCAAAAAAAAAAAACAAAACCCTGGAAAGTCAATATTTGGTCTGAACACCTTTTCTTATGCAAGTTTTCTAATAATTTCTTTATGCAGTCTTTGGGAATAGTTTTCCATTCCTATTGAATGAAATTCAAAGCTCTTCTTTGGATGTTGGCTGCTTTTTGCTCCATTCTCATATTTTTGTAGATTAAACCAAAAGAAATGGGACCAAATGGTGTATTTCTGCTTATTTGTTATATGTAGACAACACTGCTACAGCCATTGAATTAGATGCATTTTTAGTGCTTGAATGTTTCATAGGTCAATGCGAAGTGGTTAAATAAACAGAGAAAAACATTCTTCTGAAAATGTTCAGGTACAAGGACTGGACTGAAAATTAGTGAAATAGCAGCAATTGTTCAAAAAGACTAATTTTTCACTTATTGGGAGCACAATGTAAAGAAATGAGAGGTGGCTCAAAACTTTTGCAAAGTCCTTATAAGAGGAGATTTGGACATCTCTGCTCAGAGAACACTAACTATTGTGCAAAAACGAACAAGGTGATTATAAGTTGAAGTATTATTGTCTGGAACAAAGCATTAATAAATTGTTTTAATAGAAAGCCTTTCATTGGATGGATGGTTACTGTTAGTTTAAAAAAAATTCCTATCGCCTTGCACACACAGAAATGCAATCACTCAAATGCACAAAAGCTACAGTTACAACAAGCTATTCTGATTGCCTTCAAATCTTCCAAACCAGGGGTAAGTCAAACAACAACAAAAAAAAGACAGATCACAACGGATGTCATTTTCATGGCATTGTTGTGCACCAACAGGAACCACTGCACACGCTGGTGCATTTCATCTTAATACCTAACGGCAGTCAAAATACAAGTGACCTCCACCTGTAAAACCATTCCTGTTTTGGAGGTTGTCTCATTGTTGCACTTCTATTGGTGTTAATGAAATTACCTATTGGTAATTTCATTAACACCAAAGCAGCTGAAACTGATGAACAACCCCTCTGCTACTTAAATTATCAGATCAATGTCCAAGAAGTTATATTGACTTGTCACTATACTATGAATAAAAAGTGTTCCTGTCATGTTTTTGAGCAGTGTACATCAAGGAACCCAAACAAGTTCCTCATCAGGTCAAGGCTCCACAGTCTATTTACACCTACAGTCCACTGACCACCCTTTCAGTGATGAGAATGTGCACATCCTGGACAGAGAGGACCACCGGAGTAAAGAAAACCATCAATGTAAAAAGTAAAAACCCATCTCTGAACCAGTGAGGGGGATTTGTACATCTTCCACCACAATGCTGTAATTGCAGCCATTTCCCAGCTTTCTGTGAATGACTGCTCATGGACATTGATCCATAGTCATGTAAATTTGCATATTAACGATCATGAAACTGAGCTCACAGCCTATTGTTAGTCAATGGACATTATGCAAAAGTACTTTTCAAAGGTATAGGAAAGCTACAGTCAGCTGAGACTGAAAAAGTCACTTAGACGGGAAATATTTCTCTCACAGATGTTAGAACATTGTGTGATTTCCTTACAGAGCACGCATTAAAACACTCCAGCTTAGTCCACTACTGCGAATTAATGTTAACCGTGCAGTGCTCACTACAACCTCAGAATAGCATGACATCATTTTCGTTCACTTGCTGTAAAGAAATATTCTCAGTATGAAATAATCAGATCATGTACAGATAAACTGACTGCTCAAATAACAATGACGCATTGGAAATATTTCAAAACGAATCTCACGTTTTCCTCTCAGTTCTTTTTCACTATAAAATACGTTTATTATAAATATACATTTATTTCCAACTGGAAAATACAGAAACTGTATCTTTAGAAAGCAAGAGACACCATGTGCTAAACTACATTTGATGTGTCTGTTTGTATTACTTGAACCAGCCAAACCAGAAACAGTAGTGCCGTTTCTGGTCGCCCCCCTGCTGCAGAGCTGCCTCGATGGCTGGAGTATTTGACAGTCTGTCCATATCAAAGCATGAACAAGCAGGATGTGCAGGAATAAAGGGTACATTGTGTGCAGGCGGGATCTCACTGCTGGACGATTGTTGAGGCAACTTTTTTAAAAAAAAATTATTTTTTTTTTGTGTGTGCGTGCGGAGTCTGTCTGTGCCCCTCAACAATAATATTTAACTATTAATCACAGTTTTGCTAAATAAAAGGATCTGGCTTGCATCAGTCACATGATCACATTTAACCAATGATCGCCCTTGACGGCAGAACGCGCTGGTTACGAGCCGGGAACGAGCTCACAAAGAGCACGCGCATTTTTTGCGGTCCGGAGCTGTAGGAGAAACACAAATTAACTCAGAGACACAGACTTACTATATTTCTTCCATACAGACTGATGCGACAAAACCAGTAAGTAGGTGTACAGCGTACACTGTAGTCTATAGCACACAGGAGTATTGCTTATTACGTACACGTTGGTAAGTTGTCTTGTGCAACTGACGAACTGAAACAAACGAGCGTGCTGTGTGTGCAACAGCGCGACAAACATTACCTGTCCTTTTATTAACTGCACATGTAGTGCTGGTCATAGCTGCTGGCTACCTGTGTAAGGCTGTCATGGGTCTGTAGCTCTGTCACCGTTTTAGGGAACATATTTAGTTTTAAAGTAAGTTTCCGGGCTTTTCCTGCCTTTCTGGAGGGATTATATTTCACTAAAAAACGATCTAATATGCATGTCCACATAATTATGCATTATTATAATTATAATTAAAAAACACACGCTGTATTTTAAAGAACATACATTAAGAAGCAGATTATATTAGATTTATATTTTAAATAAGACAAAATTTGGATTTTACAGCAGTAAAATTATTGTATCTCTACAGTTTAAAAATGTAATAAGCTTTGCCCCTGCACAGAGTGGATAGTGAAACAAATGGAATCATCATAATGACATTATTTCATATTTATTACTTCCCCCTCCTCATTGCTTTATTATTGTAGCTCTAGTAATAAATAATAATGTAAGGATTCTGGATCAGCACCATGATGCCCATAGTATATACAGTATTCTGAAGAAGGTCTAAAATGTCACTGTGTGTGCGTGCATGTGTTTGTTTTATGTATATGGATTTTTTTAAATTATTACTCATGATATAACATTGTCCAGACATGCCTGGTAAGGACATGAGGAGGAAACAGTAGGAGCTGTGTGAGGCTACTAAAGGCAGTGCTATAACATTTTTCTGTCATCATTTTATTATAGATTAAGTGCAAGAGTTGTTAGGTGTGGATAATTAGATTATAGTTTATTGCAATAGCAAGTTGTGCCTTGTTCTCAGATAGACAGCAAGTGGAGAGTGATATATGAAATGATGGGATGGAAGGAAGAAGAGAAGCAAAGAGTGATTCACAGGCAGAGCCTAAATTATTTCTCACAGTTTTTTGTTGCCTTATGGTTCCAAGCGCTGTCACCAATCTTTGCATTTTGTTATTATCTCATGACACTTGTTTAATCAGCTACCATCTCTCCTGTGGACTTTTTAATGTCTACAGTCTCAGATCAACACAGCCCTGCCCTCCAGCACTATCAGCAGCAGGAGCAGCAGAAACCCCTCAACAGCAACATTGTACCCATCAGGTAAAACATCGGCTACGTTTGCTTTGCATTGTCGCCACCTCACAACAGTGATATAGTATGATGCGATCCCATATTAGATTCTTGATGAATGAATGTGTGTTGTTGTTATTCAGCCTGGTTCAATGTGCCCCTTTTTAACTTTGAGCACCCGCCCCTTTAAACGTCTCTGCACGGCCCTGCTGCTCGGCTTCTTATTTTCCCTTTCAGTGGCCCTTTATACCACCATTTTGTGCTACACCGTGGAAAAACATCGTGGGAACTGTCGCAGTTTTAGGCTCGAGGCTTTGTCCTCCCTGAACCCTGACATGCTTTATTTTACAGTTTATTTACCCATCGCTGTTCTGCGTCCACTGAAACCGTAATGAAACTGTGGGGATGGGGTTCGTTTTCCAGAAGATGGCAGCATTGAGATAACCAGGTGCAGCTAAATCTCAGTGAAGAAGATCTGCGCCCACAGGAAGCATGGTGCGGGTTGAGTGCTGCTCCGACTCCCTCCGCTGCGGGATTAGGAGGTAACAGCGGTGTCATCGCGGGACTGTAGCAGAGACGAGGTGCCGGAGTGACGGTTGAGGAGAGACTATTCCGTTACGTCCAAAATACATACAATGGACGACAGCAGCCTGCCCCGGAGGGAAGCAGGTCGTTCGAGGAGGGTGTCTGCTGCTGCGGAGTTTGGAGCTAATGTTAGCCTGCAAGATGGCGAGGTGATCGACCTAACCCCTTCCAGAGAAAGTCAGCCTGGAGCGGACAGACCGGGCGCTGCTGGCGGGAGGATGGAGAGGAGGAACTCGGCACCTCACATAGTCCATAAGAGGCATATGCCCAAGGAGCCCTACAAGTTCCACATACCGAAGAAAACTGAGGAAAAGAAAGGTGGGCCATTGTGTCTGTATATTAGTAAAATTACACCATAGCATTCAGGACTTCTCTGTGCTAATTTGTTTAGATTTGTTTTTTACACCTGAAACACTGCCCTGAACCTGAGTTAGCAACGGGGAAGTTCCATTATCGGACGTGCGAGTATCAATTCGAAAACGTTGTTTTCTCTTCTTACATCGCACAACATGACGGTTGTGTCCACAAATGTGTATTTCATATGTCCAGCCCTACTGTCACCATCAGTTTTA